TTAATAGCAATAATCCATTTGATCAACCAAAAATATATTTAAACTATTTCGAAAAATCCGATGATTTATATAGAATGATCAGTTCTCTTAAGTTATGTCGGGAAATACTTAAACAACCTCCATTGAGTACTGTTTATAATGTTAAAGAAATGGGAATAAATGATGAATTTGGAGAATGGTGTACTAACGGTATTGATATGAGTGACGAAGATTGGGAAAGGTTTGTTTTAAATAAGGTATGTTCTGCTTATTACAAATATGAAACATTATGATGAATAAATGTTCTTCATATAAAAGATCTAATTATTTTTCTTTTTTTACGTTTAGTCAATTACAACGTTTCATCCGTGTGGAACTGTAAAAATGGCACCGGAATCTAAAAATGGAGTAGTCAATCATCGACTTCAAGTTTATGGGACAAAAAATCTTCGAGTTGTTGATGCATCAATATTTCCATATATTCCAAGTGGAAATACGAATGCACCTACAGCTATGGTTGCTTGGAAAGCAAGTCGGTTAATTGTCGAGGATTATATGGGAGAGAGTTAAGATGAATTATAAAATTTCTTCAACTATGTCGAATAATTTGACTAAATTCTAAACAGATTCACATATAAATAATCAGTTTAACAATGTTATATTTAGTTAAAAAAAAAAAAAAAAAAAACTAGTCTGCATTGTCGTATTTGCGTGTAATAACGCACATGGGCTTTATTTCGAAATTCCCACTTTTTTAAAAATGCCAATTTTATCGAAATAACGCCCATGTGCGTCCCGAAATAACGCACCCCACTAAATACTATGTATCACGGGTAACCATATAATAGAAATTTATTTTTACTACTAATCGATTCGAATTATCGCACACGTGCTCGAAATAACGCGTTATTACGCGAAATTACATGGACAATTCATGTTTTTCAAATAAAACAACAACTGCTAAATAGCAGATAGCATGTTAAAGTCTTATCCTTAAACATTACTTTAATTGGGTCAGCTAAAATTAATTATCAGTCAATAAATCAGGAATTCCCAGTTTTTCCTTGGCGCACTCATTTATTAAAACTTTCAAGAATTAAAATATCCATATCGCAATAAATTGAATTTATTTATGTAATAGGAACTATATCATCAAACTTTTAAATCAACTTTTGAAAGTTTTAAAACCATACCAATATGCACCAACTTTTCAGGTTGATTGGAAGTACTAACATTAGAGTAGCAGTATTTATGACTACTATTTGCATCACCATGACTTAAAAAATTTCAGTATTCTCATGAGAAAGTATTGCAAACTGAGAGGTGTACTTTGTGATATGAATATGCGAGTATAAATTATCTAAAGATTTGATGTGGTATAACATCACCAGTAACAAGTGTAAATGTAGAAAGCAGTTCTGATTCATTGAATCTTACGGTTGCTCAGATCATACCATCAAGAGTATTACTATTGATTAATTCAAGAGCAGACTATAAAAGAATAATATAATTTTAGTAGTATATACATAAGACCCTAGAGCAATATACAGTACATAGTTTTAGGATAGAAAATCTATAACCGAATCTTGCTTAGGTAAAGATTGGGTAAAAAGAATAGATAATGCTACTGAAATTTCTGAATTGGATAAAATTTCTCAAGAGTTTTTTAAGAACGGAAAGAAATAAATTGAGATCTGAAGATAGATCTGAAAATGAATTGGATGGAGCCTAGAATTGATTATAAGACTTTTAACAAAGAAAATTAAAAAGCAGAATCACCTCGAATCAAAGAAACTATCAACTAAGTGTTGACTATTCTTCCTCTGATGTCATAATGTTCACTAGCAACGACTTCGGCTCTTCTAGCATTGAGATAATTTAGATTTTTTCGAAAACGCCAGCCAAGTTACAATAGCACATATAAACTGATCGTAGAATGATTCGTTCTATATATTCACATGGCAACCTATCATTTGATCTGTTCTAAAGGAAGGTGGTTCAGTAAAACCAGGGTTGTGCAGCCTCTATATCCGATGAACTTTACCGGACACTGGACATATCAATTTGCCCAGTATCCATTGATCTATTAACATATATAGTGTAAACATTGGCAGTATGTTACTGTCCTAATTATTTAGTTTGCTCGACTCTGAACAGAGGTTTCTGTTTCTTATTTCTAAAAAAATTACGGACAATTTTAGAAATTTAAATTTCATCGGACAACCCACTTTATCCGATTGCCCAACCCTGGTAAAAACTGTAAAAAAGAGTAGGAAATCATATGGGCTAAGTGCTGAGAAAAGGGACGAAATTGACAATTTTTTCAAAAGCTATTTTTTTATATAAATCAATTTAAAATAAATTAGAATCATTTTTCACTTAAGACTCAAAAGTAGTTGTGTTAATAAAATTTTGCAATATAGCTCCTTAAAGTTTTCATTTTCTTATGATATATTATAAGATTTACAACATAAAAATTAATTTTCCGAAGATCTTTTTTTTTGTCAATTTCGTCCCTTTTCTCAGCACCTAGCTCATATAGTGGATAATGAATAACAGGTGTTAATATCCGCCTAATCTACTGTACAAAAAAAGTAAATAATACATAAACTTAGTATTACTAACAAACCCAATAACGGGCTTTTTTAATTTCCATACTAGATCAAAGCAAATTTCATTTTCTCACATAGTCAAAACAATAAGTCAGATTGGTTTCTTTATAATTTTGTAAATATTTATAAAAGTACTCTAGATATCTTTTATTTGTTAAAGTTTAAAAGTATATTTATTAATAGCAGAAAGTATTCTTATATAAACTTAATAGTATTTTTTTATTCTTTAATATTACAAAAAATTATATTTAGAAAACTAATTTTATACTACTAAGCAGGGTTGTAAAACAAGTTCTTGTAATTCTAATAGTTGTAAATTATTAAAATTAATTTAAATCTTATTAAAATATAAGAATTTAAAGATTATATCCTATTTTTTTTTTTAAAAAATATGGCTTACTTTGCCAGAAGTATTTTATTAATTTAAATAGAGTTATATATAGGTAATCCTTTTGCTATTGTAATTATATAAAGAGTATACAATTAGTCATATATATAACTTTAGTTATTGTTTATTTAAGTAGTCTACTATATAGGTATTAGACTATCTAAGTAGTTCTATACAAGCTATTATTCCTATAACTCATTTATGAGTTATCTATTTAAATACTCTATTTAATAAACCTGTTATAGTTTACAAACTAATTTTGTTACAATACTTAACTGTTTAAGTTAGCTAGCTTATTACAGATCCTTTATAAACTAGCTTAGTTTTTTTTAAATTATATTATATTTAACATATTGTAAATTTCTATAGAGCTAGTTAATCTTATAAGCAAATCTACTAGTATAGTCTATACTCATTTTATAAGCTTATCTAGATTAAACCTTTTATAATATTCATATAAATCTAGAGGTAGTACCCATATAAGAGTCACCTGGGTAACCCGTATAAGATCCATTAACTGAGTTAACCTACTGCTACTCAAGTGACCCAAATTAATTAGTAAAAATAAACATTCATCAGATTGGCTGGTTGATGAAGAAATGGTTAAACAATTTTAACAAACTCAGCTTCGAAAAACACTGTACAAATCAATTATTTTATAAATATAATAATCATTAGGTCGTTTCTCCTCTCCATGTATTGCTAAGCTAATTCAATATAGTATTCAGGAGTTCTGGAAGTAAATTCTGGCCGTAATCCATGATTAATCTCAATTGCAAGTTTGTTATTAAAATCACATCTATCAAAGGTCCTTGGTTGACATCTCAGCTATCATAACACCAAAGCTATAAATATCAACTGTTTGTGTAAATTTATATAACTTCTGAAGAAACATAGAGCATGACACCGTAAATATTGCTTTCTGAAACATATTTTCAGTTTAGCCTTCCAAGTAAGTCTTTAAATTTTTCTTAAATATTTCTAAGGGCTTCCGTTAATAGCATACTGAAACTCAATCAATTATTCATTCGTTCTTGTATCTTAAGTAATTCCATACATTGCGAGTTTGATATGCACATCATGTGATTGAAAAATTCTTTCAAAAAATTAAGACTATTTTCCTTAGAACTGGTCAAAGTCTTGAGTGCAACAGTATTGATTTTTCACGTACTCTTGCATGTTATTTTTGCCATTATCAATTTTTCTTCACCTTTAAAATTTTGCAGATCTAGCTAATACAAAAATTGAGAATACGAAAGATCTTTATTAGACAAAAAATGCATTTACTATTCGTGATCTTAGTAGTTGCTATCTATGAATAACCGGGTCAACCGGATCACCTGAGTTATTTGACGTGACCCAGTTTGTGACCCGATAATGATATTTTAAATGGGTGAGTAACCCAGAGCTTAAATTTTGAACTGAGTACAATCTCTATATAAATCTAATTTTTACTATAGATTTTTAAAATTATATTAGTTTTCTATATTTTTAGATATTTTATAAGACAAATCTTTTCAAATCTAATTAGCTACTAAGTTAAATTAGTATTGCTATTTCTTTTATAAAATAGATTTATTCATATTTAACTTAATCTATATACTTTATATACAGACTTCTCTACTAGATTAGGAGTAAAAGATTTATAGATCATTTTTATATAGTTTATATAATCTTTTAAAATTTTTATATAAAATTAATATATACTACTAATAAATCTTTTTTAAATTACAACTAATTTTTAATAAAATTTTTATAAAATATAAATAAAATAATTTATTTTTATTTATTTTTTTTTGTTATTAAGGCTACTTTCTTAACTAATTAGATTTTATTAGTTTGTTATTACAGAGCTATTATACGAATAGTCTCTTAAGGTTTTACAGTTACATAATAAGTATACAATAAGCTATATATACAACTTTAGTCATTGTCTAATTTAAGTAGTCTGCTATACAGACAATTAACTATCTATTAGTTCTATAATATGCTACTATACTTGCAACCTACTTGTAAGTTACCTATTTAAATACTCTGATTATTAACTCTTCTCTCTATTTCAAACTAATGTCACTATTATATCTGACTATTTAAGCTAGCTAACTTGTTTATAGATCTATTTACTGTATAACTTAAGTTTTCTTAGAATATATATTGCCTAATATATTATAAGCATATAGAGTTCTAGTTAATCTCAGAAGTAATTTCTACTAAAGTAGTTATGTATCTATTTTATAGATTTATCTAAATTAAACCTTTATCAATATTTATATGAACCTAGTTCCTACTATAATTCTCTATCAGATATAGTCTTCTAAGATTCTAGCTAGATATTTTATAAGATAGATTCTCTTAATCTAGTTAGCTGTTAAGCCAAGTTAGTGTTACTACTAATATAAGACACTAAGTTATATTATACAGCAGACTTACTTACATCTACTTAATCTATATCTTTCATATTCAGGTTTTTCATTAGATCAAGTATTAATTGGTATGACTGCTGAAATTTGTACTACTTTACCAAACTCAAGATTTCTACTATGCAGATCCTTGGCCTGTAAATTCTATTAAGATTTATTTATACAATATAACTTAAATATTATATCATATTTCTAATATCTAATTGATATTAGTGTAATATAATTTATAGAGTTATAATCTTCAGAGTTTACTGTAAGTTGAGTATAATAGTCTGAATAATTATTCAAATTTGTTGATAGTAGAATTTGAACTTCAGACCTCTTGCATAGTAGTCTAGTAACCTAACTACTATACTAAGATTATTAGACTATAAATAAAATAATTTATCTATTATAATAAAATTTTAAACTATTATTGTTTTTTTTTTTTAACTAGATAATTTGTCTTTCATTTATTTAGAAAAAATATATATAATATTACAACAAAAATATAAACTAATTTAAACTAGTTATATAATTACTTTCTTTTTCTAATTCTAGACTCATTTAGCTACTCTAGATGCTTAAATATGATTAGCTACAAAAGTAATTTTCTTCTTATAAAAACAATTTGTCTAAGCAAAATCATACTCTAATAATCTATAAAAAGTTCTTTTGTATTTATTTCAAGATTCTTTAGTTATTTTTGAAACTTAACTAATTTTCTTTAGTTCTTTTTTAATCTATATTTTAACTTTAGCTTTAGTTAAATTTTAAATTTTTTTTTCTTTGCTTTTGCTTATTTCTTTGTAGATATTCTTATTTAAACTCTAGTTTTCTTTATTTACTGAGTTTCTATTCTCAAGTTTGTTAAGCTTTTGCTTTGTTTTTTTTAGTTTTTTATTAAACTTGATATTATTTTTTTCTTCCTATTCTAGCATAACTTTGCAGCAAAATTTCTATAGTCTTTTAAAGAAATTGAATTAAAATAGCTTAGAAAACTAGCTTATTATCTTACTAGTTTTGAAAGCAGATTCTAAAATATCTTTAACTTCTGTTTTAAAATAATTACTAGTTAGACTTCAAATATATAATTTTCTTTTGCTATATATTTTAGCTATATCTCATCCTATAAATACTTCTTTTAGAGTTTGAACTAGAATAGATATATTCTACTTATCATTGAGCTTTAGACTCAGCTCATCTATAATAAATCCTTTGATCTTTTTTTAAATTTTTTAATAGATCTAGTATTCTGCAATATATTCTAAAGATTCTTTTTTCACAAAACATGTTATACAAGTTTTACTCTTAAATAGTTTAGGATTTTTTTAGAAATAAAGATCTTTAGTTAGTAATAACTTGTTAAGACACTTTATTCTAAAGATCAGAGTTTTGCTTTTTTTGATGCTATTATATCTCTTTCTCTAAAGCTTATTTAGTAAGCTCTATATATTTTCTAATTTAGCTTTTCATTACTTTGCAAGTTCAATCTTTAATCTAGTATTAATTTAATATTATTCAGATCTACCTATTTATATTTATATGATGTTGTTGTGATTATATTAATAAATGATCTAAGAGGGCTATCTATTAGCTTACCTTTCTAAGTTGGTACTACTCTTATACTACCTGCTGTTATGTTTTGTACTTCTAGTACCAGATTAGATAAATAACCTTCTTTTGTTAACTTATTAGCTTTATTATTTCAGTAATTCATACTATAGCCTTTAACCTTAATTAGCTTCAAATTGATATTTTTAGTTTTGTAACAATCTATTATTTAATTAATTAGACTATAGTTCTTGGTTTTAAATATACTTCTTATATTTACTTAGCTTTTAAAACCTTGTATTCTTTTTATTGCTATATTGCTATCAGAGTATATTTTTACTTTTATTTTAACAGAAGCTACTAGTAAAGTTATTTATATTATACTTAGTTCTGCTTCATCCCAAAGTTGAACTAATTATAATCTTATATTCAGTAAATACTAGTACTTAATAAGTACTAAAATTTTATATTTTTTTAATATTTATTAATTTTAACTACTTATTAAGTACTATCTTTAGTACTTATTAAGTATTTAAATTTTTAATATTTTATAAGTACTTATAATAAGTAGTTGTAATTACAATTCAACCTACCTTAGCTTCAATAAATACTTATCAAGTACTTGTTAATTACTTGACTAATACTTAGTAAATACTAGAACAAATTTTGAGATGACTTAAGTTGAGGAAAGCCAATCAGCTATTCTACTATTAAAACTAATACTATTTTCACTACTATCATTACTAACTATAACTCATTCTATACTTATCTTTTTCCTTTCTCTATTTTTTCTATATTCTGTTGCTAATGATTTATTTGTATAAATATCTAGCTACTTTTTAACTTTTAGCTTTTTTATAATATTAATTAACTTACTTTGCATCTCACTATTACTAATTACCTTTTAAATTACTACTTCTTCTATACTAGCTACTCTTATTTCTACTTCTCTTCCTCGTTTCTCTTTTTTCTTATAAGAAAGTTTCTTAGCTGCTATTTAGACTAATAAAAGTATTTTAATTAATATCATATTTCTTTTGTATAATACTTTTTTTAAAACTTGATACTATATCTTTAGCTTTTGTCTTATTATATAGCTTGTATCATTATATTTTCTATATATATAACCTTCATACTTTCTAGCTAAAAATTTGCAGATTAATAAAGAACTGCTTATAACAATTAATGCTCTCTAGTAGAAACTAATTGTTAAAATATTAGATAATTAAATGAATACTTTCTTAGCTTATATTTTTGCAACTTGAAAACATGATTACATATATATCTAGAACTTAAATATTATATCTAAAATATATACTAAATTTTCTTGTTACCTTTGTAATTCTTCTAAAGCCTAATAAATCTTAGTTATTATATTTAATTTAGAAGTTTTTGAATCTAATTTTCTGTTAAATATCTTGTTTTTCATTACATATTATTACTCAGAACTACTTTTAAGCTTTTACTAATAATCTTAATATATAAAATATCTAAACTCTTATTACATATCTTCTTTTAAGTATTTAATACTTCAAAAAACTCAAGTTTTATAATCAAGTTTAACAGGAAATATATATTGTTCTTACTTTAACAAACAGTTTTAATAACAACTCTTTTGATATTATCTATAATATAAATAAAACTATTAATTTTCAAATAGCTAAATACCAAACTGCATAATTAAATTTATCTAATAAAGAAAAAGATTTTAGTTTAGAATTACTCTTTAATTAACTAGAACTATAATGATTACCTCTTAATCAATTGCAATAAAGACATATAACTTAATCTAATTATTAAAACTTTTAAGAACTTACTAATACCCTCATATAATTGCTAGCTACACTACTTAATACTAATAATACTTTGACTAATAATACTAATACTATCAATAATTTTTTTAGAAAAGAAATTCAAGTAATTGATTTATTTTACTTTTATAGTAGAAATCAGAATTCTATAATTTGGCTTACTGGATTTAACAAAGTTTGCAATACTAATAGAATTACTGATATTAACAAGCTCTAAGTTGTATTTGCATATCTTAAAAAAACTACTACTACTTAGTAGACTAAAAACTAAACTTTAGCTAACAA